AGGTTCTTTATCAATTGTTTTGTGGAGAAAAAAATTGAGTAACAAAAGCAATATAATTTTAACTGCGGTAATAAGATGTACGCTATCCTTACATCTTGAGTCGAGGCTTAATAAAAACCGGTATTGTCCTTGCTTAGACTTATCCTTGTCTTTATTTCTAACCTGATCTTATTGATCTATACAGCGTAAGCCCTGTCTTGCTGGGCCGGCATAGTATTGGCTACTAATTAAATCATATCAAAATACATAGTGTTCAACGACGTTTATATTCGAGATTAGATTTCTTACGCTTTGTTTTTGAAAGTTATACACTATCGTGATCACAGTTAGGTTCGTACAGTGGACCTGTGTCCACATAATTATTTATACACAAGTATTGCATAAAGGTTAACCAAACAACCAACTATATATATATTTATACTACTTACCACCAACTAAGCAAGTTACAATTGTAACGAAGATGTTGAACGGTATGTACATTTCTATTTTTCTGACGTGCGACAGCAAATACCTTTAATAGTACGCGCGTCCTCAACACCGATGATGGATGAACGGGTGATTCTCGTAACCTCGTGTTTCCGCACAAATTTGTGTTGCCTTAATAGTTTGGCAATTTTTTCTTTGGTCGACTTTTCGCCGTACAGTCCAGTGTTGTTGTCGGAAGACTTATTGTTGATTATCGATGATAAGTAAATCGCATTGTTCAAGGGATCACGTCAAGTGATTGGTAGATAAAAGTAGTCGATGTGCATGAATGCGTACGCAACATTACTTGTTTAGACGCTGGTATCGTCTGCCCATTGCCAATCGATATTGTTTAGTATATTGGAAAAGCAATGATATCTTATAATTTCTGATTTCTGATGATATTTGAAACCATGAGGTGACTTATTCACGTTGGCTTTCCGCTATTGCAGGCTTTTCTGTGCTCAGCTACGACCGCGTACAGTAAGTGCATACAACGTCCTCGGATCGATACGACTGTTAAGCATCCCCTGAGAGAAACAGTTCTATTGAGAGTCCAAATAATGATAATCCCCTGTAAGAAGCACATACAAAGGTAACTGAAATCCGGACAACATTGCAGTACGAAATAAACCCGACCTCCGGACATAAGGCCCACACATTGATGAATATTCCCATCCTCGGACTTGCTCGCAGTTGGGACTCGTCTGCAACGCGTGGTGCCGCGAACGCACTATGACGTTGTTGTGAAATCGTTTGACACCCGAGTTTGCCTATTTACACTTGGTACTTATCGTGATTACGTGGAATGTTTTAATGCGTGGCACCACGCACGCAGTATGACATTGTTGATTTTGTGTGAACTCTTTTTGACTACAGAGTTCACGTATTTATCGGTGACACCGAATTGTTTCATTATTCGCGGATTTTAACGTGTTTATTATTCGGTGACGATATTCATTGTGACTATAAAATAACATGTTGGACACGAGTCACAATGTGTGGATAATTGGTAAAATACTCACATTCTAAAAACAGTATGGGGTCGATGCCTCAAAGTTTGCAATTAAACGTATTGGCCTACAGACTTTCTTTAAATCTACTCATCATTATCATCATCATTATCATCATAATGGTTCTATTATAACGTAAAATTTTCGGGTTAGACATTAGTTAATTTTTAAAAATGTCACATGTGTTACTTGTGTGTTTAGGGGTAATGGAAAACAGTTTTCTAACTGTTTGGGCTTACCCTGGGTAAATAAATGGAATAAATACATTATATCAATCATCACCATTATCATCATCATCATCATCTTCTTCTTCTTCATAATTGTCATCATTATCATTTATTTATTTATTGAATTTATTATGACGGTAAAAGTAGGAGTATCGACATAAACTTTCTGAATAATAGTTGTCCACGGGGACATCAAAAGGATGACTCATTCGCTCAGCTTTCCTCAGATTGCTTATTTCATTGAGGAAGTAGAGATGGCTAATCGTAAATGGCCTGGTCACCGATTTTCAGCTTTACGTTTAAAAATTAGGGATTATAATAGGATATCTGTACACAAATTAGCATAAGAATACACGAAATCTGCAATACTTATAATGAGCAGAATATAAAAATTATGATTCGCTAAACATCATTAGCAGGTCCCCTAGGTTGAGATATTTAGTACTGTACGCAATATTATAACCTCGTATATAGGGTCACATGTGTCTCAATTTACATTATTCTGTTTTAATTTCAGTATTATTATTATGGTTTTCGTCAAATATTATTTTAAAATCCATACAAAAACCAGAAATTCATTGTGAGACACAATGCAAGACACACCTCTTACAATTTTATACCTAATAACTCTTGACCTTTTTCATAATCCACATTATGCTTTTAACATTATGGTCTTACACTTCCCTTCGTTTCATCGCCTGAGAGATGAAACTCCTGATTCCTCCCGGTGCTCTGGGCAATGCCCATGGCTTTAATTTAAGGTTTGCATATCTATATTATAACACAAACATCTCTTGGCCCTAAGATATTTCAACGTACAGATTGTAATCTACGGACAGTTCCTTCCAGTGGTGGTGCCAAGA